CGAGGACATGTCATCGCAAATATTGATGGTTACAGTTGGCAGTGACATGGCCAAAAAGAGGACGGAAATTTGGCGATTTCCCGCGAATAGGGTCCAGATATTTCTTTTATTTTGCGACGACTATGCAAAACGTCGACGCAAAAAAATTGTTCCAGAAAATTCTTTTCAGAATGACTTTTTTGTGACAACACGTGTCGTCGGAAAAAAGGGTTCTAGAAAATTCTATCAAGGACGACTATTTTTTGCTACGACATGTGCCATCACAAATAACATGGGATTTACTTTTTCCCAAAAAAAAAGAGCGGAAACTTTGGCGGTTTCCTCAAAATTATTTGCGACGACATTGTTAAATTGTCGTCACAAAAAAAGAACCAGGGTATATTCCTCAAGAATATTCTCAGAAATATTAATGAGGTGAAGAAGAACGCCTTCGTTTTAACATGAATTACGGCGACTATTTAATATTTTTTGCGACGACATAATGTCGTCGCAAAAAATGACATGTATAACCACGATCGTAGAACTCCTTCCGCCATTTTTCCCAGTGAGGGTCTCAGTTTTCTCTCGTTTTCTCCGTCCAAAACCTCCAAAAACCGTCCAAAAATACTGAAAATAGCTTAGTATTATTGTTCTCTCCTCAAATCTTTCATTTGCAGAGAAAAAAAGTCAAAAAACGCGGAGTTTTCATCTCCCACTCACCTCCTACTTTTCCGGCCAAACTCACAGTTTTCCAGCCGCACTTGCCATTTTTTGGTCGTCGGGGTCCTCTTTTCTTACCGCCTTATCGTTCTTCAACCCCCGGTATTTGTCGGTTTGGATTTTGTGGTTAATATTTTGTTAATTAATTTTGGTATTTTTGTTATGGTTTATAATTTTGTTTTAGATTTTAGATATAGTTTGTGGTTTTGAATTTAGAATTGTGAATTTTAAATTTGAATTGAAATTGAAATATGTGATAATTAGTTGTGGAACTCCCCGAGATTGACACTTTGATGTGGAATCGACCTGATATATCATCTGATGTTGTCTTGTCTAATGTTGATGCAATTTTAAAAGACAAGTCTTCCGTTGGGGATAATGACTCTCATATACTGGTTGATGATGATGAAGAAGACTTCGTTGAAGAAGACATTGACGATTCTGAGGATGATAATGACATAAATGAGGAGGGCGATAATCAAGACATTAATAGTGACGATGAATAGAAATTATGTACTGCGATTATTGTTTTAATAATTATAATTATTCATATAACATAAGATCTATGTAAATAAGATAATAACGTTTATGATGACTTCTTAATAGGCAATCATGCCTGGCCTAGTCGCTACATGTGCTGGCTCTTCAGGGGTAGCGCAACCTTCTCCCGTTCCTTATAGGTTGTCATCACACTGTGAGTCAGGTATGTTAGAACATAATTATAAATTTGTTAAATTAATTACATCAGTATTAAATGATCACTAAATATATTTCATTCTACAACACCCGATGCCGCACCTCGACGACTTCGTGGAGGTCGAGGGAATGCTAAGGGTCATGAAATCGCAGCCAGAGTGGCAAAGGAAGGAAAGATTACCCCCATGTTTGACTAATGTGGAGGTACTTGGAAGGCAGTTGGAAACTACGACACCTGGTTTGATAGTGCCGTTAGAATCCATGTTAGGGATGTCTGTGAGCCTTTCCACGATGCTTAAAAGGACGTGGACATCTAGCATAAGAGAGAGATTCAGCAGCGCCTGCTGGTATAAATTATTCAACTTTAATGTTTTTTAATTTAATCTAAATTTCAATATCATTTAACATATTTATATTGTATTACAGGAATGGTTTAACCTCGATTATGACTACGACGATAGTATACTTAGGTCTGTGGTCGACATGGAGGCTGCAAAATGTTATAAGGATTGGAAAAGCGACCTCCATGACTATTTCAAAGATCTTGGTGCTTCACAAAATGAGAGTGCAGTTAGGGCCCGCCCTTCTAAAAATCTCAGGAATCCAACTCACTATGGTCGTTGCTGGGATAGATTCATGTCTGACAAGTTTCAGGTAATTGAATCTATTTTATATGTTGTTTTTATAAAATATATAATAAAGGTTAATTTTTCTAACGCTGAATGTAATCATAAATAGAAAAAGTTAAGGATCAATGAACTTAATCATAGCAAACAAAAGTGGTCGAGTTTTCATGGTCGACTGTCATACTCCTAACATTGCGATAAGAAAGTAAGTATTTGTAACTAATTTATTTCATATAAAATGTTAATTTGATAATCGATTACACTATATTCATATACATTTAAACTACTATACAGTCTACTATAGAGACTCAACAACCGATGTCCGTCATCGATAACTGGGGGGACATGCATCGTCGTGGGGATACTTGGGTTAATCCCCAAGCTGAACAGACTTTTGTAAGTATACTCATAATGTTTAATTATATTTTTTCTATTTAAATCGCATTATGTATTTAATTATTGTTCTTATAATATTTGTAGCATTAGATGGAGGGAGAAAGAGAAACGCAGATCCAGACGCAGTTTGCTACTTCTGGCTCCTCCGTGACAGGAATATTAAACGAGGAGGATATTATGGAGCAGTTTCTGGGCACCTGCAGAGGACACAAGACTGGAGTGGATCGCACACTCTCACAAAAAGTTTTATCGAGGGGATGCGTCGTCATCTGGCTCACACTCGGCAGGATCTTCTACGACACGTTATGTTCCACGCGTAGAAAAATACTTACAACGGACTTGCCAGCAAAACCTCCAGCTGTATGAGAGCGTCAGAATGATGCAGGATTTCATCACTCAAATGCACCTCAACATGACTTTCCCAGCAGTTACTCCTCTTGAGTCGTATGTCCGTCCATCTCATCTGCCTCTGAATCCTTCTGATGATAACAATAATAATTCTAGTGATGCTACTAATTTAGGAGATTAGAGTTTTATTAATATAACAATTTGTACTTCTATACATTTCTACTATAATTACATTTTTATTTTATTAATTACTTTTTACCGTAATAATTTTTATTTATATTTTTATTATTTATTTCCTTTTATTTAATTTTTATTTATATTTAATATTATGAATTATATTTATTATAATTATTAAAATGAGAAAAAATAAATAAAAAATTAAAATATTATTTGCGACAACAATTGCGGTTGTAAAAAATATATGCCACGTCAGCTACCACTGCGTCTTTTGCGACGACTTAATTCAAAAAATGCCGTCGCAATAGTTAATGCCATGTCATCCTAATGATGTACCCGACGAAATAATTGTAGCGACTCATTTGTGACGATTGTCATCGCAAATATTATTGCGACGACAAGCTGTGGTCGCAAAGATTATTTTTGTGACTATTCAACTGCAACGACACGTTTGCGACGACAAGTGGTCGCTAAAATTATATTTGCGACGACTTTGTATTTTTTGTAACGACTTTTTGTCGTCACTAGTGTCCCTTTTTCTTGTAGTGAGAAAATCTTGAGAAGCATTGTTTTTCTTTTGGTTTTTTTTTTTTTTTTGATTTTCTACTTGATCAATAGAAGAAAATCTATTGAATGGAAAGAAATGTTGAAAGAATCTGAATAGTAGAGCTATGGATCGAGAAGTTATCTCGTCCGTGTAGGACTACAAATTCAGTTTATTCTAAAATGCGTATAGCCTTTCAGTTTATTCTAAAATGGATAAATGCACATAGCATTTCAGTTTATTCTAAAATAAATGTTTGGTGTGAAGAATTCCGTGTCATTTATCCGAACATTAATGCATAAATACCCAAACCAATAAGGCTACATTGGGTGCACAAAATTTGATAAGATTATCGCTAAAGATTGAAATACCGTCTCTGCAATTTATATGTTTAGTGTAGTATCAGAACGGATTTTTATCCTTAAAAAGGGATTGCATTAATTTATCAATTATATAAATTCGAAAATAAAATAACTTTATTTAAAATAATAAATTTAAAATTTCTTTTGGAAACAATACCACATGATATGCGTTGATAATGGATTAATATATAGCTAGTGCATTAGATCACCCAAAAAGAAAAATAGTCCAAATTAACAATTTCAATGGACATGCTAGACATCATTAGAAAAAAGTTAAAGATTTAGTTTACTATGAACTTCATCCACTTTTTTACGGAGTATTAAATTAATTTAATACTCTGGCCCATCCAATTTTAAAGTTTTACTAAGAGTTCGTTTAGTTCGTTAATTCAAGTTGATATATGACTTTATGTTAGAGCTTCTGAGAGCCGTTTATTAAGGGCTCGAATCGGTAAAATGAACGGAAAAAAAAAAAAACTTAAAAATTTGGAAAAAAATATAAACAAACCCTCTTCGTTAGATCTACCAACAATATATATTCACGAGAATGTCCTCCATTTATAACAAATATTTGACAATTAGTACGGCTATTTAGTAATGAGAAATTCTAAAATAATACATGTGCATACCTGCAACAAACTTAAATCATCTGTCCCAATGATGTTTAGCCAATTATATTATATTAAATTATTTAAAAAATCAAAATTTTCTTCAAATTCATTCTTGTTCATTAAATGATTTAACATGCTAGGGTTCATTGAATACCATTTAAGATACGAAAAATTGATAGTGATCTTAGTCCTAATGCAATCAATCATTTTTTTTTCTTTTTATTCTTTTATAGGAATGCAAACTAATCATTCTTGTCTCAATAGCAATTTGAAAAAATTTTGAATTTACTTTTAAATATTGTTCAGCAATGTTCTTTCTTGTATAATAAATGCTAACTAATACTTGAAGGATGACAAGGACCCACCAAAATAAGAAATAAAAACACGTGAAAGATGCCGTATCATTTAGGTTATTAATTATGAGATTTTCTTCCCAGCAAAAAAGGGAGAAAAAAGAAAAAGAAAAAACGTCCAGACACGAGCTTCGAAGAGAGCTGATTTTGCATTTCGAAAAGAAAAATAATTAATATCCTTACATATACTCTGAATTTTCCCTATAAAGAGATCGCTTCTCTGAATAACGTAGTAACCAAAACCCTATCTCCAAGCTAGCAAATATGGCTTCTTTCTCCCTTACACAAGCTCTCGCGACCACCACTCCCACCACCATTTATAAACCTTCCTTGTATCCTTCATTTCAAAACAAATCCCAATCTCCCAGCCATGCAAAGACTAAAAGCAAAGCCCTTTTACGTAGATCACCAATCTCATGCATGGCAACGGAGAATGGTGATAACCAAAACCCTACCGCCAACTCTTCTAACTCCGGTGTGGGAAAACTCGACCGGAGAAATATGCTGCTCGGTCTCGGAGGGCTATACGGTGCAGCCGGGCTAGGATCCGACCGATTCGCCATTGCCGATCCGTTGCTTCCGCCGGACCTCTCAAAATGCAGCACTCCGAGCGGCCTCCCTGCCGGCGTCGTGACCGAATGCTGTCCCCCGTATTCGGACGAAATCATTGATTACAAGCCGCCGAGAACCCCGCTGCGCGTTAGGCCCGCAGCGCACCTTGTGGACAGCGAGTACATTGCCAAGTACAACGAAGCAACGAAGCGCATGCGGAAACTCCCCGACAGCGACCCGCGAAATTTCATGCAACAAGCCAACGTGCACTGTGCCTACTGCAATGGCGCGTACGATCAAGTCAACTATCCCGAAATCGTTCTTCAAGTCCACAACGGTTGGCATTTCTTTCCCTTCCACCGGTGGTACCTCTATTTCTACGAGAAGATCTTGGGGAAGCTTATCGACGACCCGACCTTCGCCTTGCCGTTTTGGAACTGGGACCATCCCAACGGCATGCAAATGCCGGCCTTTTTCACCAACAAATCATCTGCGCTCTACGACGAAAAACGAAGCATCAAGCACCAGCCACCCAGTCTCGTCGACCTTAACTTTGGTCTGAGTAAAGATACCACCCCCAAGACTTATAACGAACAGGTACAGGAGAATCTCACCATCATGTACCAGAGTATGGTTTCCGGAGCCAAACTACAGTCGCTCTTCTTCGGCGAACCGTACCGCCAAGGCACGGATAAGGAACCCGGGGCGGGTACCGTCGAGAGAACTCCTCACACTGCTATCCATATCTGGGGCGGGAGCGAGAAGGACAGGGAAAAGAATGGCGAAAACTTGGGGAACTTCTACTCGGCGGGGCGAGACCCGATGTTTTACAGCCACCACGCCAATGTCGACAGGATGTGGAGTCTATGGAAGACGATAGGTGGCCGGAAGAGGAAAGATATCAGCGACCCGGACTATTTGAACGCCGAGTTCTTGTTTTACGACGAGAACGCTAGGCTTGTCCGTGTCAAGGTCAGAGACTGCCTCGACACCAAGAAGCTCGGGTACATCTACGATGACGTCGAGCTTCCCTGGCTGTACAAAAAGCCCAAGCCTCGTAAGTCGAAGCTCGTGAAATTGCTCAAGAATCTTGGTGTGGCGCGTGCCGCCGACGCCAAGCGAGTGGCGCTTTCCGATTTTCCGATAACGTTGACGGACAATATAGTGACGACGGTGGTGCCAAGGGCGATAAAGGGGAGGAGCAAGGAGGAGAAGGAGGAGGAAGAGGAGGTGTTGATAATTGAAGGCATTGAATTCGACAAAGAATTGGCGGTGAAGTTTGACGTGTACGTCAACGACGAGGATGTCCCTGGGCCGGACAAGTCCGAGTTTGCGGGAAGCTTCGGTAACGTTCCTCACAAGCTTAAGCCTGGTGCTGAGCGCGGCAAGGTTTCACTGAAACTCGGGATATCGGACTTGTTGGACGACGTCGGAGCCGACGACGATGAAAACATCATTGTGGCTTTGGTGCCGAAGAATAATTATCCGGTCACCATTGGTGGCATTAAGATTGAGCTGCTTTCTTGAACTAGTTCAGTCCTTTCGTTGATAAAAATGTTTTGTTTCAATAAACAGCCAGCCAAAGCGGTTCACGTCGAAGTTGGCCTATTTTTCGAATTACAAGCTCTATGCATGGTAGCTAGCGGCTACCTAGCTCTTGTGTAATCGTTCTACGTTAGTTGGGACCATATATATATATATATATGTGTGTGTGTGTGTGTGTGTGTGTGTGGGCGCGCGCGCGCGCGCTAGCTCGCCTAATATATATGTGTAATAGTTAAAAAGTGTACTTTATCTAGAAAGAACGTGTGTTAATCATTTGATCATTAGTGATTTCCGAGTCCTTGATCAAAATATCATTCTAGTTATTTATCTTTAAACTTGTTTATCCATGGATGAGATTTATAAATTATCCTTTTTTTTGGGTCATTTCTCTTCTTTAATGCAACTTATTTAGCTGTAAAAGTACCGTTTATCTATAGAAATTGCAATCTTGGGCGAGACATATTTTGTATGTATAATAGCTAGGATCAAACTCAATATTGTTTTTACCCAAAAGAAAAAGGGAAAAACAAACTCAAAGATTTCAAAGCTATATAATTAATTTATTGGACTTAATGAAATCATTAAATACATGGCGTGAAAAGAAAATTAGATAATACAATTCTCAATATATAGCTAGTTTTGGAAATCCTAGAAAATAATATTTTTGCCTGAAATTCTACAACGACAAATAAACTGATCCGATATGTTGAAGAGAATACTCTTTTTCTCTCTTATTACAAAGAAAAGAAAAAGAACAAAAGGAAAAGCGGGGTATTTGCAAGAGACTTGAAATGAAAGCTACCCAACCGGTAGAAATAGAAGCCGTACATGGTAAAAGGGTAGACAAAAATTTAAGACGACGTACCATACGTAAAATTAAATGAGGATTAGTCACGCAAGCTATAGTAAATTTGTCAGAAATCTCATGGTGTACAAACTTATAATTAATTAATGTATCCTATAAATACGGGAAATTGGGCTTCAACTTTTTAAGTTTTCTTCATTTTATTGATTTAAATTTTATTACAGTGAAAATTTTTTAAAAATAATTATATTTAATTTGTTTATTAGAGTAAGATTTTTTTTATAAAAAATCACATCTCAATTTAAATTAAAAACTTAAATCAGTCAACTAAACCGGCCGTAATTATTTACAGGATTCAAAAATAAAATAAAATAAATAAAAGGAGTCTCGATAGATTAGAAAGAAATTGACCTTTTTACGTGAACACTAGATGGCAGTTTCTCTAAAATCATTGTTTAATTTCCATAATTCAAGGACGAAAATCTAAAAGCAGTTGATGTTACATTAGAAAAAAAAAATGGTTCGAATTTTGCATAATCATCGAGAGTCTAGCCTTTTAAACCTAAAACAGTGAAAATCAATCTCCCAAGCTCCCTGGCAGCTCTTCAAGAGCTCTGACATCCAAGAATGTCACTCTCAACACTCTCGATGTTGTCGTCCTTTGCTTCTCTCATCGCTACTCCTTTTCTCCGGGAAGTCCTGATCAAGGCAAAATTTCAATGACTTTAAAGAAAGTTGTAGGATTTTCGTCTAAGGAAATTTCTTTGAATTAATTAGATTGCAGATTTTGCTATTGAGAGTTCTATGAAATCGGTCGGCGGATGATTGGAATTTTGTGATTTTTATCAAATTGATTGGGTTATTAGTAGGCTTTTCAGATTTTTGTTAAAGTACAAATCACGCAACATGACGTAGTTTGGAAGTGGAAGTTAAAATAGCAACGTTTAATAAATATTATAGAATCAACAATTGTTTTTTTTGTTGAAAATACAAATTGTAAAAGATAATTTCAATAAAATCAAGTATTTGAAATACCTACGAATAAATAAATCATCATATGACAAGAATCCTAAATAATCATAATAATGCTCATGGCCAAGCCCACCTATGTTGTGGAATAGCTTGATCACATTCTAGGATTTGCTCATGTGGTTGAGCTATGAGTTTAGGATAGGCTAAACACGCCAACCTGTTCATATTGGCCGGGCCCGTGCCAAATCCCCGACATGAATTGGTCAAGGTTCTAGACTTAAAAGTCTTTTTTAAAATGACTAAATTAGTCTTTTTGTTATAATTAATATATTTTTTAAAATTTCCCTTATAATTAAAATGCCCGCCTAGTCTTGGTGTGCCGTGTTTTAAGGAATGAGTGGACCAACCTTTTCCCTTTTAGGTCTAGACCAGGTAAGATAGCGAATCTAGCGAGCCTTACTCGAAGTCTCACCTTAAATTTGTAGCTCTATCCCAAGCATACGAACTTCATTTCTCACCTTTATGCGACCTTAAGGCAAAACATAGTTTTAATTCTCTTAAAAAATATTTTCATAATCTCAAATTCCAATTTGTCGATATAGACCAATCGCAATCAATATTTAGGGTAACTCTTCTACATCTCTGACTACCTGATCCATGAAATCACTAGAGTACACTTCATCCAAATTCTACTTGAGGACCATTTTTTATATGAAAATAATTTTCCATAGAAGCATTTTTTGGATAAAGGAAATTCTGACTCCTCATGCCAAACTATTTCGTAAAATATTAATCTTAAACGTCTCCAAAAATTACAAAATTTAATCTTCATCAAATTTAGAGTTTTCTAAAGAGCTATCACACTGTCTCGTACCTGTTAATCCCCCCGAAAGCAGCAAACGCATATCAGCCACGAAAGCTTTAGAAGTTAACAAAAACAAGAGGAAAAACAAAGAAAAAACATGTTTGTATCAAACAACTCGACAACAAATCATGAAATATCAAGAGGGTCAAATTTTCAACCCACAATAAAAAGATAAACAATATCTAAGAAAATGTCTGACTCAAACATGCAGATTATCAGAAAAATATCGTTGAATGAAAAATCTTCCTCTAGCATAAAAATTTACGGAAAATCCAATCTTCCCCCAAGGTCTCTTTACTGATCAAGTCTCCACCAAATAATGGAGGGGTTCAATTTTTTCCTTGATACCTTCTAGGAGAGAAATAGGTTGGGTCAGATCAATCGCGTTTCTCTTTTTTCTGAAAGTTCTTCTCTTTCTTGACTGAAAATTCCGTTTGAAAGTCTCTTGTATTTGCTTGAGTTAAAAGATCATGGCGTTTTTTCTCTCTGTTTCTTTAACTATTTGATTTTCCTTGATTGTTTATAATATGAGATTGGTACGTAGATGAAGGAAAGCGAGCTTTCCCCATACTTGTCTTCTTTTACTTTTGCTTGGTGCTGAAATCAGATCCTATCCTAACTCTTCGAATCAACTAATTTGATCTTTTTCTCGCTAAAACTCTTGTTTTCTCTTTCAAATTTGATAGAGTTTCAGTGAGTTAAAATAGAAAAAAAAAAAGATCCCTTTGCCTTTGTGCTTCCCCTATTTATAGAATTCCGATCTTTAAGATTGAATTCCATAAACTTCATTCATTGTCCACATCATTTTCACCCTTCTAATACTTGACTTTGAAGATTTATCTTTCCTCGTCAACTTCATTCTGTTTTGAAGATTCATTGTCGATCGTAAGCGGCTTTCTCTGCTTCCTTCTTCTTAATCTTACTAAACAACTTCGTTCTATTTGTGACTATTATTTATCCCCACACCTGGATTAGTAGATATTGTAATCAAGTATATACCCACCGTCTACGTGGTGGATGAGTGATATGTTTCTATCGGAGAGTATCAGAAATGTTGGAAATTGATCGTTTGTATAGAGGTAAGCACAACAGTTTTTTTTTTTTTTTTTTTTTTTTTTTTTTTTTTTTTTTTTTTTTTCCTTATTTTTACACTAACTTTATTATATCTATATGTATAGAGGTAAGCACAACAGTACAAGAATAAAAGAGCAGTTAGGAAAAAGTTTGACAAATATCGTAAAACACTTGCTTATATTAAAGATATGTGGTCGAACAAGTTGAACGAAATATGTGTTGCTGCGTACGTAGACGAATTCAATTATACGACATATCATTCGCTAAGTTGTGTTTTTCCTTTGTTTGATGTGAATGAAACAAGTGATTTCCTTTGGGATGAATTATGTGAGCGTTTAATACATAAAAAAATCCTTTCAAAAAAAATATACTAAAAAGAAAATAATTTTAAATTTTAAATTGCATGTTAGTAACCTCATAATGTCTGACAAAGAAAAGGAAAACAGGCAACAAAAAGAGCAGAAAAACAATGAATTATTGGTGGGACTACATTAATGACATATTTACTTATTAAGATTGAGGAATTAAGATTGAGGAATGAGAGTGGAGAATGAGAGTCAGTCTCATATTTACTTGTTCTTTTCATCGTGAAATGAGAATGAGATTGGTGGATCCTACTCAAATTTGAGATTGAGGAATGAGATTAGAACCTATATTTACTATTTTATTTGCCTAATATTATAATATTAGCTTAATTATTTTTAATTTTCATATATTAAAATATGTACTTTATTTTTAAATTTAAATATATATATTCAAATTTATTAAATTTCTAAATATATTAATTATGATTAATTTTAATATAATAAGTATATTATTTATTATTTAAATTAAAAATATAAAATTAACTTAAATGGTATATTAGTATTTTTACACTAATTTATTCCGATTCTATGTGTGAGTAAATGTATGTATGAAATTTGGAGTAATTCTAATTCTGAATTTTATCACTAAATAAACAACTTATTATAACTCTAATTCCTCATTCTAAATCCTACTCACTCTGAATTATGTCTACTTCAATTCATGCACAATTATTGTGTAGGTAAACATGCTATAATTGGTATGTATCTACCCAGTGGAAAACGTGCGCACTTTTTTTTTTTTTTTCTCCTCTCCAATGGAACGTCGTTATAAATCTAGATATCGAAATAAATTCATGAATCTGGGGATGTGTGCTTTGTTTTCTCTCTTTTTTTAGTCATGATTTGAATTTCATTTGCGAGCCTCTTATTATCGTCATCATCACCATCATCATTTTTTTCTTGTTGTTGAGTGGTGATTATCATTATTATTATAATTACTAGCTGACTAGGCTATACCTATAGTATTTTATATTATAATTTTTAAGACTAATGATAATAGCACTTGTGGAATATGAATTCTGCAATTAAATTTGTAAAGAGTAGGCCAATGAGTAAATCTGAATGTCGATTGAGTGGCTAGTCAATGACCTCGAGTCAATATATTAATATAAGTACGACAATGTAAAGTCCAATAAAATACATGAGAGATATGAAAACCGACATGTTATGGCTTACTTTTGATGCGAAGCGACGATCCACTGTAGAACCTTTTCACTATAATCAAATAAAATTACAATAAAATGTAATGCCGAGCTTATACTTAAATCTAAAAAAACCAAGCGCCAACCAAAGAGGGTGGGAAACCGACATGTCTGTGACTGATTTTCTCGGACAGTACTTGCTCAGCCACCGTCAATGACTTTGGGAGGTTCAAAAATGCCGATGAAGCTCGGAAGGATGGCGCCATAAAAGCAAGGACGACAATAGTGTGCCAAAGAAGAAGGGACAAGTAGGGATGATTGGTTACAGTGGTTTCTTTCATAAAAAATACACGTAAATCGAAAATAGTTCTAATCTCATGTTTCTAATTCATGAACCAAACGTCTTCAGTTATGTTTAGTAAAAGGGTTCAAACTTGATCGGTTCAAATGATTTTGTTACATTATTTTTTCTTATAAAAATTTAAATTTTGGTTTGAACTTATGAACGGAACATCCATAAATTAGGGTTTTTTTTTTTTTTTTTTTTTTTTTTTTTTTTTTTTTTTTACGGAAGAAAGAGGGAAATAGACCAAGATTTGAGATGAATTAAAATTAATAGGCCAATAGTTTACATAAGTTAATAAATAAGTCAAATTACTGTTTTTGTCCATAACTTGTGTGGTTATGAACCATAACTTGACAAGTTATTGTCTATAATTCACGGTTTTTATCCATAACTTGTCTGGCTATGAACCATAACTTGACAAGTTTGTCCATAACTTATCTGGTTATGAACCATAACTTGACAAGTTATTACCTATTAATTTCTATAACTAAAAATTAGCCTATATACTTTCTTAAGCTTTTTATAGTGGCCTATTTTCTACTATTTCCGTTTTTTTACTTTAGTAAGTGGGCTTAGTTCAAAACTTAAAGGGAGAAAGAAGGAAATAGGCCAAGACTTGAGATGAATTAAAATTAATAGGTCAATAGTTTACATAAGTTAATAAATAGGTCAAATTACTATTTTCGTCCATAACTTGTCTGGTTATGAACCATAACTAGACAAGTTATTGTCCATAATTCACGGTTTTTATCCATAACTTGTCTGGCTACGAACCATAACTTGACAACTTTGTCCATAACTTATCTAGTTATGAATCATAACTTGACAAGTTATGACCTATTAATTTCTATAACTAAAAATTGGTCTATATACTTTCTTAAGCTTTTCATATTAGCCTATTTTTTATTATTTCCCAAACTTAAATGCCTTTTGGGTTGGGCCTAGCTAAGTATATGTGGGAGTGTGGTTGGGTGAACATAGGCCTTAAGTTTTAGGGTTTTTATATTTAGCATCAAAATAAAAAACAGAAAAAATTAAAGGAAGCCGGGGAGTATCCTCGCACTACGAAAGGAGAAGGAGCAGAGGTGGAACAGTGCTAAAACGAAGCCTTTTTGGTTTTCGGTTCAACGACAGATTCTCCAATGCAAAAACCATTCACCGAACCGCCATCTTCGAGCGGTTTGATTTCACTCGTGACCGATGGAATCAGCTACCATCCTCCGATGGTTTTTCCATCTGTTTCAGTCGGAACCATCGGTTATTGTCCGTTCTCGACTTTTTGTTCGCCTCTAGTATTGGTAGCAATAAAAAAGAAGGATCCATTTAGATTGAAATATTTTGACGAGTATCACAAGGTATCCAGATTATCCAGAAAATGAATAACACTATGTTGGATAGCTTCCAGATTACTTAAAAAATGAGATAAAAGGAATCCCATGAGATTAACATTATTGGGAATGAAAATTGTAATTCTTCTACGAATGAGAATATTTGAATATTCTGATTCCACCCTTAAGATTACGGCATAAAAATGCCAATTTTAAGTTTATTAGTTATAGACCTGTTAATTGTTCTTATATATAATGAATATTTACGAGTAATATGCTATTGAAATTACTTAACTAACTACATATGGTTTTGAGCATTGGTGTAGAAAAGAGCTGATTGTTGTTCTTGGATCAATTCTAAAACGAAATGCAGTTTACAATTTTTTTAGGGCCATTTTACAATTATCTGACAAGAAAGGTACGTATTTAGAGGGTTGACTAGAATTTTGTAATATTAGTGTCCTGTGGCACCACATAGCTACAAGAAATTCGGTTTTTTGTTGTTAGTAAATTCTTGTGGTGGGTGCAAATGATATCTTAAGAAAGGTATTAACCTTAAAACTCAAAATTTTCTCTTTTCCTTTTCTGCGCCCAACAGTTTTCACCCCATTTGTCAACAATTCATTTGTTAATTCTTTCTCTGTCTAATGTATTATATATATATATATATATATATGCTTCCCTGCGTATATGATACATCAATGAACTCGGTAATAGTGAGCTATCAATATTTACAAGTGCAATAACTTGTATATAGCTGTATTGCCTTCCCTACATGACCGAGTGATCAGAAGCACTGCATGATTACGCTAGCTAAGTATTAGATTCTGGCCGGAAAAAAGGGTAGATATGAGATGAATTCTCATCACCATATTTAAGAAAGTTATAAATATAAAATAACGTACTAGTTAGTAGCTGTATACTGTCAATATATATATGGATATAACTTACTGATACCTAAGTTCGTTCACATGGTCGTGCTATTAGCAGTTGTATGTACAACAAAATTCTTTTACTATTACCTTGACAAAGAGTGCGTTTAGTTATCTGTTTCATTACGAAACATGAGATTCAGCTTATTTTAACGATTAGTCCTACGATAAGTTGCTTTAAACACATTCCTTTTTAGCACAATGACACAAATATGCATTAATCTTTCATGAAGGCTAATGTATTATATTATATGTTACGCGTCCTACTTTGACAAAGGCGTCCTTTTTTCATTTTTTTATTTTATGCTGATGTGTTTCACTATATATAAATATATATATATATATATATATATGGTCGCACGTGTTTCTTTTGTTTGTGCTGATTCTGCTGAAGCTTTTGGGCTCGGCGGATTCTTTGCCTCTTACCAAACTTCATATAGCTAGTCTGAATCTGATATACGTTAATTTGTCTGTTTGCAAAAATTCAGCGACATTTTTTACTAAATTGGTTATATTCAAGGAATAATTAGCTAGCTGTCTTTTTTCTAGTAAAGTTTCCATTAGCAAAAAGAAAATAAAAAATAAAGTTTTGCGCTGTACAAGCAAGCATGCACGAGGAAACAGTGTACTGGTGTGTATACCAGATTATTAGGCTTCCCCACAACCAGTTTCATCATAAATAGGAGGTCATTTCCTCCCTGTGTGTGCAATATCTCCAACGCATATACACCTATAAGCAAATATGGCTTCTCTCGTCCTAACCTCTACTTCCTTTTGTCCCTCCTTTCGAACTCCAGGAGACGCAAAACCTACGAAAGGCATACGTAAATCAAATATTGCATGCAAAATCACGTCTGATCAGACTGACCAGCAAAGTTCTTCAACAAGTAGTCCTCGAAAATATGATAGGAGAGACGTGCTACTTGGTCTCGGCGGCCTATACGGCATGGCGGGGCTGAGCACCGTAAATGGCCCATTGGCCTCCGCTGCACCGATTCAGGCACCGGACTTATCAAAATGTCACTTGCCGGATGATGTGCCTCCTACTGTCCATGTCGAATGTTGCCCACCAGTGGCCCCAAAGATCATAGACTACACGCCACCAGCGCACATCCCATCCAAACTACGTGTTAGGCTCCCAGCGCATACGCTCGACAAAGAATACATTGACAAGTACAACATAGCCATGGAGCGCATGAGAGCTCTCCCCGACGACGACCCGCGAAGCTTCACGCAACAAGCTATGGTCCACTGCGCCTATTGCAACGGCGCGTACGACCAGATTGGATTTCCGGACATCAACATCCAAGTGCACAACTGTTGGCTCTTCCTTCCCTTCCATCGCTGGCAACTCTACTTCTACGAGAGAATCCTAGGCAGCCTCATCAACGACCCAACCTTTGCCTTGCCCTTCTGGAACTGGGACCACCCTGAAGGCATGCGAATGCCCGACATATTCGCCGACCCAACCTCGTCGCTTTACGACGAGAACCGAAACCCTAATCACCAGCCTCCGGTTGTTGTTGATCTCGACTACACAAAAGGCGCTGATGATCCAACGATCGATGACAAGCAACAGATTATCCACAACCTCAGCATCATGTACCGTCAGGTGGTGACCCCCAAAACTGCGGAGCTGTTCTTCGGCCTGCCTTATCGTGCCGGTGACCAGCCTAACCCAGGAATGGGCGCCTTGGAGAGAATGCCCCACAACAATCTTCATATATGGGGCGGCAATCCAAATAACCCTAACAATGAAGATTTGGGACACTTCTACTCATCTGGTCGGGACCCACTGTTTTACTCTCTCCACGCCAACGTTGACCGGATATGGAACATATGGAAGACACTGCCGGGCGACAAGAGAACGGATTTTTCCGACTCCGATTGGCTCGAAACTTCGTTCGTGTTCTACGACGAGAAAAAACAACTCGTACGCGTGAAGGTGAAAGATGCAGTTGACACTAGATTGCTCGGTTATACATATGAGAAACGCCCTCTTCCTTGGCTAAATTGCAAGCCAGAATCTAGGAAGGCGAAAGTGACAACAACAGCTAGTAACATCCTTGTCCCCTCAGCGCGTGCGGTTGAGAAAAAGGTTACAACGCCGCTGACTGCTTTCCCGTTGATGTTGGACAATCCGATAAGCACGGTGGTGCCGAGACCGAAGAAGAGGAGGAGCAAGAAGGAGAAGGATGATGCAGAGGAAGTACTGATAATTAAAGGTGTTGAGTTCGAAGAGACTTTGTCGGTCAGCTTTGCCGTGTACGTGAATGACGAGGATCAGACTGAAACGATCCGTCCAGACAACTCCGAGTTCGCCGGGAGCTTCACGAGCGTACCGAGTGGCAAAAAGGATAGCCATGAGAAGACGAAAACCGACGTATTGTTCGCGATAACGGAGTTGTTGGAGGATTTGGATGCTGAAGACGATGACACTGTGGTAGTGACTTTGGTGCCAAGGAATGAGGTTGGAAAAGTGAAGATCGATGGGATCAAGATTGAGTTGCGTTCTTAATCACCATGATCGATTATAAAGGCCTTACAACTTGGTACAAGTAAAATGAAGGTGAAGAACATCTAAAATCTTCAGTATTCCCTTCAATTTAAAAAATAAAATATAAGAGATAAAACAATATTAATAATAAATAAAAGTGTTTCAACATTAATAATTAAGGCTAATGAAATGTTTGAAAGAATTACCTTGGGAATTTAGTTTTCCTTTCTCCTAATGTATTGGCCGAGCACATAACTCTTTCATTCAGTTGGCATATGTCTCCCGCTGGCCGATCTTCATGTAATCGGACTTTTAGCTACTTGTACACGTACCGCATGCTTTCTATTAATATGTTCGTACATATGATTAAACAATATCGCTGTTGAATTAATGAATTACTGGTCAACTAAACAAATTAATAAAAACATTAGTAAAAAAAAAACACAAAATTAATAGGAAAGTTAACATATAAATTATAATAAGCCTTTTTTTCCGTCCAAAAACATGTACTTCATCAGTGTGTGTGTGTGTATATATTGTTATGCATAATTGTATACAACGAGCCCAAGCAGTTCTATCATCATTACTGTTATTGTCACTAAATACTAATTGAGCTAGTTTTTAGATTTTTTTTTTTGGTCAAAATCCATATATTTGCGTATGTCAATATATGTGTAAACAATAAAAAATTTTGTACAAAAATGATATATTTGAATTCTAATTTTCTAAAAATGACTCTCTCTAATTTATCCTATAAATGTAATCTAGAAAAATTGGCCCACCATTTCTTTGCACGACGAACATTTCCAATGGATTTTCTACGATTTTAAAGTGTTTAGGAGCTGGACGTTACCGATCGAGGAGGGGAAATTCATATGGTTAGTTTTAAATAAGAAAATACCAGTCTCTCCATACTAAACTTGGCTCCATTGATTTCTTGTTTATTGTTTCCCCAATAAAAATTAGTGTGCCATGCTAATAATTAAAATGTTAGATAAAACATTAAAAAAAAAAAAAAAAACTTAAACTGCACGGACTTAGGCTCGCATATTCCTGATTAAGTAGTGCTAGCCAGGGATCTCAATTTTTAGAAACAAACTTTTTGAAATTAAATGACAAATAAATGGTTAGAAATAACAATCTCTGCTAAATTTCAGATGAAACAACAAAAGGAAATCCACACTCGAATCTGTTTGAACACACCGTGAACAATTAAACCAACTCAGAACAAATTTCTGGAAATATCTCAGCACTTTATTCTTCATTCAATCAAAAATACATACATCTGTACAAGCTTTTCTCTCCTTGAACAGACTCCAGACAAATCCTCAAGAGTAGGGGCGGCAATACGGGTCACGACAAGACAACACGAATCGAAATCGACACGAAAATTACGGGTTAGGGTTGAGAAAAATGAGGTGTGGGTCGGAATCGGGTCGACTCGAAATTGACACGAACAAAACGGGTCGTTTTCAGGTTGGGCCCGTGTGACCCGAAATTGACCCGCAATTCAATTTCGTGTCAATTTCGGGTTCAAACCCGAAACTGACCCGTAGAGAAAAAAAAAATAAATATATATATATATAACATTACAGAATACATATACTAAACCTAAACAACAATACATCTTCATTATCATTCCTCTGAATTGGAAGCCCGACCATGCCCTAGTGTCATGCCCTCTTTCTTCTTCTTCTTCTTCTTCTTCTTCTTCTCTCGAAATAGCGACTTTGGTTCACTCAAGTTTTGTTCTCTGCCTTCAAATTTTCCTCTCTGCCCTCAAATTTTGACATCCCCCTCATCTCTCAACTGCCACCTGCCCTCAAATTTCCACAGTGAAGTTTCAGATTTGGAGCAACTCTATCTCAAAATAGCAACAAGGTAAGTTATGTTCTTCTATTTTTTTCCTATTTTTTCCGTATGAGTTTGAAATCTGAATACGGTTTCTATTTGATGTCAAAACAACCTGGGTGAAGTGAATTTGCTGAAAATATTGGTTGAAATCGGATGAAATCGGCACTTTTTTCCCCTTGAGAAACCAAGTTTTCTTGGATGTTTTGATTCGGAAAAGTTGTGTTACCATTGACAATGGCATTGTAGCGGAAAATATTGGTTGCAATTGCTCCTGGGTGAAGTGAATTTGCTGTTATATTCACTGCTTCTTCCTGAAAAAAAAAAAAATATTTGACTGACAACAGACTGATTATTAATTCAATTAGCCTTATGATGGATAAACTAAAGCCTTGTTTATACCTTTAGACGTCTTGCAAGCTCATTAGCATGCAAAATGTTAGCAAGCTTCGATTGCCCATATCCGGCTGCGCCTAGTTTTCCATACCTGTTATTTAGTATATGAATGGTTTTCTTTAGATATTTCATGAATAATACTAGTTTCGATTATTTTCTTTTATTTCACAGTCATATCAGATTATTCCAGTAACTGCAACTATACTGCAAGTTGTTACCCAGAAGGATCATTAATTTGTTCAAAACGGATTCCTTCACGATAGGTGAAGCGATGACCAGCTGAGGAGACGTTTACAATTCTTCCTTCTTTTCCACTTTGTTGTGATGTTTTCTTCATTGTGTCCAACAAAAGATTTGTGAGGAGAAAATGGCCTAGCAGACAGGGAGAAGAAAAATAAAATTAATTTTGTAACCATATAATGCAAATTTGAAGTGCTTATTAAAATGAGAAAACAAAAAAGAACAATCAATTTACTCGGTACACTAATATGGAAAATGCTAGCTATAGCACTAAACGTAACACAACAATTACCTCCTTACAATCTTAAGTATTTGCATGAAACCTTATACCTATATGCAGATATTTGCTCCGGAAAATTTTTAAACCTTTATCAGTAATCTTTAATTTGCGAATAATTTCATCGTTCAGTTTATCCCAAAAAAAAAAAAAGGGACAATTTAACCATTATTTTTGGTATATATGCAAATACGTACCTAAGTGGTTTGTTGCAAACTGTAGTTCCATATTGTCTTTAGAAAGCTTGAATGCAC